ATTTCCCCATTATATTTTTTAAATATTTAGTATTTATTTGAGAGAGAGAGATCAAGATCGATTTGTTGTTCCACTTATTTATGCATTCACTGTTTGATTCTTGCATGTGCCCTGACCAGGGATCGAACTCAAACCCTAGCCCATCAGGACAATGCTCTAACCAACTAAGCTGCCCACACACGGCTTCCCTATAATGTTTCCCTATTAAAGATTTTTACTTTGAAACTACATTCAAAGTAAAAATCTTTATATTTTAGCACTTTTATATTTTAGCACTTTATATTTTAGCACTTTTAACTGCATTCTTTCCCCTGCATTTTCATTTGCATTGGGTCCCACAAATTGTACATCTGGCACCACCCTTTAGCCCTCCTGTTCACACACCGTATGCAGTAGGGTAATGAAAGAGATCTCTGGGGGGTGAAAAGTTGCACAAAAAAATTATAAAGCTGAGTTCTGAGTAGCTCAGGCGTATTCCTTTGCTGGGGCTGCCATAACAACGTACCATAAAATGGGTGGACTGGGGCTAAAACAGCAAAAAGCTATTGTCTTACAGTTCTGGAGGCCAGAAGTTTGAGGTCAAGGTGTCAGCCCGGCTGGTTCTTTCTGAGATCTCTCTCCTTGGCTTGTAGGTGGCCATTCTTTCCCTGTGTCTTCACAGTGTCTTCCCTCCATATGCAATGTTCCTTTCCTTAACAGGACCTCATTTAGTCTGAATTACCTCTGTAAAGACATGTCAAATAAAGCCACAATCTGCGATACTGAGGGTTAGGACTTCCACATTTAGATTTAGGGATGGGAGGTGGGACACCATTCAATTAATAACTTTAGGTAATGACAGAAGCATAAGTCTTGTTTCTCTAAAATATCTTTTAAAAAGTAAAAAGAGAACAGAAAAGAACATATAAAACAACATGAAACTCACAACCTCAGCAAAACCAGGATAAGGTGGCATCAGGCTCAGCATTCCCTCATCTGTCTTTCTTGTAGGGTCTTTCTCTCAGGGAAGTCCCCAAAGACCCCACCCTCTGGGTTTCTTGTGTGTGTGGAGAACTTACCTGCACTGATGCCTTTTGTCTGCACAGCTCCAGCTGGACAGGGCTGGCCTCAACCCATGGGTCAAAATATGATACCAGGGATTCCTTTGTAAGGGCTGGTTTAACCAGCAGGAACATGTTGCGCGTGGGTCACCAGCCAGCAGTGACCACGGAACACCGTGGATGGCTCGACGATAAACACGCGAGAAAAAACACCACATGCACAGAGACAGACTAGTTTCTCTGGGGAAGTAGGGACGAAATGGCCACCCCCCCTAGTGGGGAGTGCGCCGATTTACAGTCCATACCTGCTTTTATTGGGCTCATTTTGCATAATAATTCAGGTAAAGTACAGTACTCATTCGGGGAAGTAAGGAACCATAGAAAACAAAGAACTCTGCCGGTCTATTGAGTTGGGGGTCAAAGAGCTGTAAGACTGAGGAACAAACTAACTTCCTCCTAAGACCCTTCTCATTCAACTGAGAGCATTCTAAACAAAGAAGGTTTCACAGTAATTTACATGTTCTTTCTTAGGCCTGATCACCCTGGGGAATCCGCACTTCTCAGTACCGAGCTGCACCACCCTGTTATTGTTTTAGGCTTAGGTGGAGCAAGGGAACTAAGGTAACCAAGAGATAAGGAGATTTTCTCCCAGACGCTGAGAACTCAGGCTATGTCAAAGCCGAGGAGCGAGGGTCCATCACCCCCCTTTTGCTGCAGCCCCCCCCAAGTCCTTCTTTTGGGGGGCCTCCCAAAGTGATCGTGCCTGGCTTAGGTCGTTCCCCCGTGGGGAATCTTACCCGTCTTTGGCTAACCGACCAAGCTTTTGGGGGTTCAGTTATGAATAAAGCAGCAGAAGCAGCATTCCTGCCAGGAAGATAAGCTTTTGTCTCCTTGCTGGCTTACAGTTCCAAGGGCGTTCCCTTAGCCTTAGCTAGGCGGGGGTTTCAGCTTCTGATACCAGTCAGGGCGGTTCCCAACAGGAACAGGACGCAGGAGGCTCAGCAGCCCACTCTGTGGCTTCTCCCCAAACCGTGGCATGAGTGAGAGGCCCCAGGTAAACAAGGGCTGCTAAACTCTGATTATGAATTTGGGCCCAATTAATGACAACGAGGAGTCCTTTTTGACAGCTAGAATCCTTCCCCAGGGAGTCAACAATCTTTTTTAGTAAAGTGGGTATAAATAAGTTACTGAGACTGAAAAAGTCAAAAGATCTAAGCGTGAGGGTGTTGTTCAGGCGGAAAAGGAGAGGGTGACTCAGAGGGGCGGGGGGAGTGGCTGGCCCTTCGGGTTGAGGGATCCTCTCGCTTGCTGTCATTCTCTTATGCACCTTCCTCTCTTCCTCTCTCTTTGTTTCTCCCTCCAAAATAAGTTTTCTGAGCTCTTCCTCTTTCTAGTTGTCTCAGAGGCTAACTGGCAAGCCTGCCCTCCTGCCACTGTAGCTGGGCTTGCTCCAGGGCCTCCACAGCGAGCTTTGAGGCCCTTTCCACTGCTCCTCACCCCACCCTACCCCACCACCACTGTTGTCCTAGTGTCTGTGGAATTTCTTCACAGCCAGGACCCTGGCCTTCTATGAATGACTGTTAGGTAGACAACTTTTCACTTCAGTAGTTTATTTCATTTTAAAGTAATTTATCACAAAGACAGACAGACAGACCAACGGAATAAAATAGAGAGACCTCACATATATGAACCAAGGGTCTTTGACAGGGGTGACAAAACCATTTAGAAAAGAAAAGACAGTCTTTTCAACAAACAGTGCTGGGAAAACTGAATATTTGCATGAAAAAGAAAGAAGCTGGACCCTTACCTAACACCATACATAAAAATTAACTCAAATGAGTTAAAGACCTAAATATAAGAACTTGAACTATAAAGGTCTTAGAAGAAAACATAGGGCAAAAGCTTTAGGACATTGGATTTGGTATCTCAGACATCAAAGGCAGAGGCAACAAAAGAAAAGATAGACAAGTTAGACCATGAAAATTTTGAAAATGTGTGCATCAAAAGACACTATTAATAGCCCTGGCTGGTGTGGTTCAGTAGATTGAACGCCAGCCTGCGAACCAAAGGGTTGCCAGTTCAATTCCTGATCAGGGCACATGCCTGGGTTGTGAGCCAGGTCCCCAGTTGGGGATGCGTGAGAGGCAACCACACACTGATGTTTCTCTCCTTCTCTTTCTCCCTCCCTTCCCCTCTCCCTAAAAATAAATAAATAAATAAAGGCTAAAGGCTTTTTAAAAAGCCTCTATTAACAGAGTGAAAAGGCAACCCACAGAATGGGAAACATATTTGCAAATTGTATATCTGATAAGGGATTAATATCCAGAATATAAAGAGAACTTATAAAAATCAACAGCAACAACAAAAATAAACCAATTTGAAAATGGGCAAAGGACTTGAATAGCTATCTCTCCAAAGAAGACATACAAATGGACAATAAGCACATGAAAAGATGCTCAACATCATGAATCATTAGAGAAATGGAAATCGAAACTATGAGGAGATACTAGATACCACCTCATACCCATTAGGATGTCTGCTGTAAAAAAATATATATATATTAACAAATGTTGGCGAGGATGTGGAGAAACTGGAAGCCCTGTGCATTGTTAATGGTGCTGCTGCGATGGAAAAACAGTGTAGAGCTCTGAAACATTTAGCCAGTTGGTAGAAGCAGAAAGTAGAGCAGTGGCTGCCGGGGGCTGGCGAGAGGGGACGGGGACTCAGTGTTAAGTGGGCACAGAGGATGGTGGTAATGATAGCACAACATGATGACTGTTTTCTAGTACTACTGAACCATACACTTAAAATGGTTAAGGTGGTAAATTTATGTTATGTGTATTTTAGCACAATAAAAAATAAGAAAAAAGCAATATATACATAAGTTAAAAATAATTCAATACAAAAGTTTACAGTGTAAAAAGAATTCTCCCATCACTCCCCCACATCTACCAATGATCCCTTTCTCATATTACAGTCTCGAAGGTCCTTGATAGACTGTTCAAAGCCATTCACATAGAAAACATGCTGAACACGGCGTCTGGCTTTCTTTGCTTTGATTTAACCATATGTCCCTTGTGGTTCATATCAGATTATATAGAACTCCCTTATTAATTTAAACAACTGCACATTGACCCATTTTATGAATGCATAGACACCAGATACAAATGAACACATTCCTATGATTCCATTTGCATTAAGTTCTAAAATAGGCAAAATTAACCGGTGGTGTTAATGTTACGAGGGTGGTCACCTGGGAGGAAAAACAGGGCAGTGACTGAGAGGGGTGGTGGGCTACTGAAGTGCAGGTCATGACGTTTTTTAAACTCAGTGATGGTTACATGTGTGTCCTCATTGTAATAACACACTGAATGTAGGCTTATGATTTCTGCACTTTTCTATATGATGGCAAATCACTATGGCTCAGCTTTGGACACCTGCGAAGCTGGAAGCTGCCCAAGTGCTAGCTCCATAACCGTGGACAGGCTTCTCGGTGTCCACATTTGTAAAATGGGAATAACAATACAATTACCTGGTAGAGTTATTGCCCAATTTAATATAATCTATACGAAGTGGGTAGAAGTGATCCACAAGCCCCAGAGCAAGTGCTGGATAAACCCCAGCTACCAAGTTACCACTAAACTGTAATTGTTACAAAAGAAAGGACGCTCCTCAGTGTTCAATAAATGCTTTAGGTGAAATAGCCAGCGCGGCCTGCTCGGGGACTGCGCGATCACGAAGGAGCGTGTTTCGAGGTGCTGGGGGTCAGGAAGACATCTTCCAGGACAGATGACCTCCAACCGGCCAGACTTCACCCTTGTTCCCTTTAAGAGCGAGGCCATGACGTCATCTCCACACCGCGCATCCTAACTTGGAAGTGCCTGGCAGGTCTTCTGAACTACCGCAATTGGCTGGCCGCGCCCCGCGACCCAGCCCCTTTGCTCGCGACCGGCCCCGGGCGGGTGCGATCAATCGGCCCAGGTGGGAGCGGTGATTGGCCGCGGGGCGCGCCCTCCGGAGACGCCCTCGTAGGCGCCCGCTCCGGTGGGAGGGGCGCGGCGCCGCGTCTGCAGCCACTGCGTCCGGTCCGCCCGCCCGCCGGTCCGCTGGTCCCTCCTGCGGCCTGCCTGCTGGGCAGGGCCGGCCCGGCCCAGCCATGGAGTCCTACGACATCATCGCCAACCAGCCTGTGGTCATCGACAATGTGAGGCCCGGCAGCCGGGGGGAAGGCGGGCGCCCCGCCGCCGGGTCTTACGCGGCAGCACCGGGAGGGACCCCACCCGCCTGGGCTCGTCCTCCGTGGGCTGCCTGCCCGGATCCCGCGCTTCTGCTTGGCCCTGTAGCCCGGGCCTTGGGGCCAGACCCCCCGCCCCACCCCCGGCGCCGTGGAGCCCCTGCCCGAACCCTTCCCCAGCTGGTCGGTGATGAACATCTCGGGAGAGCAGGAGTGACAGCGGGTTGCTCTGCGCGGGGACGTACCCCGGACCTTGCTTGGTTGAGAATGGGGTTACTGGGCAGGTTTCGACCCCAACCCCTTTACCCCTGTCCTTCAGGCTGTGGCTCTGTCTGCCCTTCATGGTAGAGAAAGGATGGTATTTGCCCTTTTGCACAGCGCTGGCCTCATCTTTTGGAGAGGGTTGGCCTGGAGTCCTTCCCAATAGCCCTTCCCAAAAGGCTGCACCCCCAGGTAGGACCTCCAGAGTGGACAGGCCCTACTGCCCTCTTTTCCTGGGACTAGAAAAAAATGCAAGTTCAGCTGTATCAGCCACAAATCTACCACCACCTGGCTGGCCACTTGGCCACTTTGCCCTTTCCTGAAGTGCTCCTTGCAGAGCAGAGATGCTGTAGCTGGCAGGGCACAGAGAGAGTTCAGGACCTCTCTTCCCAGGACCCATAACCAGTTGAGGATAATTGTTTAGAAGCCTCAGAGAAAAGAGGCCTGGCTTCCTTGTGGCCTTGTCCTACATCAGTGGGGCTCAGTGTGCTGTCAGCTGCCCTCTGAGGATTTGTCCTCAGAAATTTCTGGTCATAGGAAGAAAATGAATGGCTCTGGGTATCTGCCTCTGGTAGATGAGCCTTGGAATTTGTTTGTTTTTATTACTATTTTTAATCCTCACCAAGGTCATGTTCACTGATTTTAGAGAGAAACATCAATCTGTTGCCTCCCGTACACACCCCAACCAGGGCTCAATCCCTCAGTCTGACCAGGAATCAACTCACAACCTTCTGGTGTATGAACCAACATTCCAACCAGCTGAGCCACCTGGCCAGTGCAAGCCTTGGAGTTTTTGATAATGACTCCCTTCTTTTTCTGGGGTCTGTCTCCCTCCCACATGACTTCCACATGTCATCCCTGAGTGGTTCTTTTTTGGTGTACCAATGTAGGCTTCCTGAGCCACAACAGGGATGTTTAATAAGAAGGCTAGAACTGGGCTTGGGGATACTCTCCAGCAGGCTACAGGAAGGACCAGTCTACTTCCCTTCTGGGGAGCCAGAAATTCACTTAGGCTAATCAACAAGCTTATGAGCTCAGAGGTTCCCCTGCGCGGTGCCTCTGGGCTTCTGGCTGCTCTGTAACTTGGGGATGGTTACTCCTGTATTGCAGACCCAAAGTGTTTGATGAAGACCTGTGTGAAGAGGGCTTGGTGAGGGGTTCTAGATGCCAGGTCCCAGCTGGTATCTGGCAGCACAAGTCCTCCTTTGTCTGTGGTCTTCCCATGGGTCCTATATGTGACACAGCCTGCTGGGAGGAGGAGGGCGGTTGAAAAAAACTACATTTAGGGGTTGCTTCTAGCCAGCTGTCAGGAGTAGCTTTGCCATGGATTCCTCTTGCCGGGAGCTAATCCTGGAGTGTGCAGTGGTCTCTCAGTCTGCTGTTGGCATTCTGGGCTGTATAATTCTTGACTATGAGACACTGGCTTGTGAACTGTAGGTTGTTCAGCAGGTCCCTGGCCTTTACCTACTATATCCCAGTAGCTTCCTCCCTCCCTTCCCCAGTCTACAAACATTGTCAACTTGGGGGGAGAAGGGATACAAAATTGTCCCCACACACACTTTTTTGAGTCACTGGTGTACTTGTAAACAATCTTGCTCTCTGGGCAAGATCTCAGCTTCCTCCTCTGCTGCCGTCATGATCGATAGGCAGCTTGCACCCTCCACTGCAAGGCACTGCCTTAATTTGGGAGTGAATGCAGGCGGCTAAACATTGTTTTTCCTTGCAGGGTTCTGGGGTGATCAAGGCTGGCTTTGCAGGAGACCAGATTCCCAAATACTGTTTCCCAAACTAGTAAGTGTGCTTTCCAGAACAGTAGTCCTGTGTCTTTGAGGCCAACCTCACCCAAAATGATAGGGAAGACACTAGATTTGTGAGGCTGACGCTGTGAGGACTCTGGGCTTACCCTCCTCTTTGGAATCTGAATTTGGCCCCTCACTGAGCTGGGGAGAAGAAGCTGCCAACATTCCCCTACGCACAGGCCGTGGTAGCAGCAGCAAAAATAAAAGGGAGAAGTTTTTCAGGAGAAAGACCTGAACTCAGAGAAGGGAAAGAATGGGGAATTAGTGCAAGGCCACCTCTTCCTCCTGGGAGAGGTTTTCTTAGGGTCTTATTTATTTTCAGACTTTAGAAAATATCTTCTTTCAGTCCAGAAGGTACTTCCCTGAATAGTGCCAGCAGCAGTGGCGGGGGTCAGAGGAGGTGAAACCTGGAGAAAGCCTGGGGTACACCTTTGGCTACTCCAGCCCACTGGGAACTCCCCTCCTTAGCAGTATCACCTCACAAATCCTGGAGGCTTTAGAGTGATTAGCCTAAGCCTGGGGGTGGGGGTCCTGGGGCCCCTGAAGTGGCTGGTTGTGCCAAGACCACAGGCCTAGTCTGAAGATAAGCCCATGTGGAACACCCAATAGGGCTCCAGCTTTCCTTTCTGAACCCCACTTGGGTGTAAATAAGATTCCTGTTGATGCACAGGGAACTTGGGTCAGATTTCATAATCTCTATTCGGGAAGCCCTAGCAGTGGGAAGGGGCAGGATCAACTGATGAGAGAGGGGTACACAAGGGAGCCACTGCCCAGCTGCCCGGGGCCTTCCTTCCTGGGGCTGCAGATAGTGGCATCAGCTTGGCCTCCTAACATCGAGAGTGTGGGCTGAGTCGCTGTAGCTGCAAAAGCTGACGGACCCACTGCCAGGAATGGGCCGTGGAGGGCTGACATTCCAAAGCTCATCCCTCTCTGGGAGGAACACCTGTTATGACACTGAGCTTTCTGTCCTGCTAAGGCCTGCTCTGTAGTCCCTTATCCCATATCCCTGGGTTCTGACCTTTCCCTCATGGCCATATCCTGTTGCTATGGAGTAGGTTATTCTCTTGATGACTGGAGCAGGACTTGGTTTTCCTGGGCTGAGCTGAACTGTGCTCCCCACCCACCTCACTGGCTTTACCTGTCCTCTCAGTGTCGGGCGCCCTAAGCACATGCGGGTGATGGCTGGAGCCCTGGAAGGTGACATCTTCATTGGACCAAAAGCAGAGGTAACACCTGTGGAACCTGCATTTTCCTGGGTTTGGGGTCTTTATAGTCCCAGGAGCATCTGCTGGGGGCAGAGCTGTACTGCAGAGGCCCCTGGGACTCTGATCTCTGAGCCATGTGCCAGGTGGCCCTGGACTCCCCCAGCTTCAGCTCTGAAGAACTCTGCCCTGTAATAAGGTACTGGCTCCTGTGGGCAGGGAGAAGGGGAACAGTTAGACCACTTCATGCCCTGTCTTTTGGAAGCTGTGGAGGAAAGAACTGATGTAAAAAGTGACTTAAGAGTCCGAATTACCCAGACTTGATAATTGGTCACAATGAGAGCTGTGGAGCCACTTCTTGCACCCCAGCTGGGGTGACTTGCCAGGGGCCACACAGCCAGAAGAGGCCTTCAGGAGGAGCAAATGTGGGGTGGGAGAATTAAAAACAAGTGCAGATTAGGCACCTGCAAAACATAATGTGGGGTGCCAGGGTCTGGGGCCTGAGTTGGGGTAAGACGGGCTCTCAGGAGATGAGTCAGTAGAGAGAGAGAGGCTGTGTGGTGCTTGGCAAGAAGGGGCATACTGTGGGGGACATGGAAGGCAAATCCATGCAGGAGACATGAGCGCTGGCTGGGAAGCTGGGAGGAGTGGGGGTGGGGTGACAGGTGGCCACTGGAGGGGACTGTACCGCCACTGATGGGAGCAGTGACTGTGAGTGATGGAGATGGAAGCTGGGCAATGTGGGGAGAAGGGGAGAACATGCTGGCAGTGAGTGTAGAGACGCATGGTCAGGGGAGGAAGAGGAGGGACTGGATGATGGAAGGAAGCGTGTCACCACCCTCCCTTGTCCCTGGCCCATTGAGGCTGGCTGGGCTCTGAGATCCTGAGAGGCTGCCAGACAGTTGAGCTACACTGAGTTCAGGACCTGCCACGGTGCATGGGGACACCCAGTAAACAGCGGTGGTTCTACTCAGGGCAGCTGAAGGTGCAGCTTCCTGGAAGGCAGAAAGCAATGCCTGGGTGAGGGGCCCGGGGCCACACTGGCCTTTCCACCTCTCCTCTGCAGGAGCACCGGGGGCTGCTGACCCTGCGCTACCCCATGGAGCATGGCGTGGTGCGGGACTGGAATGACATGGAGCGCATCTGGCAGTATGTCTACTCCAAGGACCAGCTGCAGACCTTCTCTGAGGAGGTGTGGCAGCCAGGCCTCCCACAAGCTCCAAATCCTCTCGCTTTGCCCTTTGCCCTCCCTGCTCTGCTCTCCGTTGGTCAGGTTCCTATATTTCCTGCATTTTGACAGGGCCTGCCACCTCTTCACTTCCAAAGAGAGCTGGCTCTTTGGAAGAATAACTGCCAGCAGGTGACAGGAAAGTGCCCTCAAGAAGGACATCAGGCTGCAACCATGTGTACTCAGAGCAGGGGGCAAGGGGGTTGGCTGTCTGGAAAGATCCTTTTAGAGCTTAACATACTGTCTGTGCACACGCCCACAACTCTGCCATCTCTTGTAGCATCCTGTTCTTCTAACGGAAGCCCCACTCAACCCGAGTAAGAACCGGGAAAAGGCAGCAGAGGTGTTCTTTGAGACCTTCAACGTGCCGGCCCTGTTTATCTCCATGCAGGCCGTACTCAGCCTGTGAGTGGTCCCAAGTCCCTATCCTCCCTGGGGCCATCCTGCTCAAGGCGACCAGATGTCTGACTTCCCTGTAGAAACAGCCCCCGGATGGTTATTCCTTTAGGGAGTTCCTCATGTCCCCTTTTCAGACCAGATCATGCAGTTGTCCCAGGGTTCCCTTCAGGAGTGGGGGGTCCCCATGCCTTACTGGCTGAGGTGAAGGGGTGCTGACCTGCTGACAGGTATGCAACAGGACGCACGACAGGAGTGGTTTTAGACTCGGGGGACGGGGTCACCCATGCCGTCCCTATCTACGAGGGCTTTGCCATGCCGCATTCCATCATGCGCGTGGACATTGCTGGCCGAGACGTCTCCCGCTATCTCCGGCTGCTGCTGCGCAAGGAAGGTGTCGACTTTCACACCTCAGCTGAGTTTGAGGTTGTTCGGACCATCAAAGAGGTGACGAAGGGCATGAGGGTGTCAATATGACCTGGAGGGCAAATGGCAGGGGAGGGAGCAGGACGAAGGCTTGAGGTGGAACGCTGGGTGTGGGTGCCCCAGTCTGCAGCCTTCTGAGGGTGTGTCCCTGCCCCCACCCCCTTGCAGAGAGCCTGCTACCTGTCTATCAACCCTCAAAAGGATGAGGCTCTGGAGACAGAGAAGGTGCAGTACACCTTGCCAGATGGCAGCATGCTTGATGTAAGTCACCAGGCCCGGCCCTGGGTGGCAGTGGTGCTGCTGGGACCTGGAGGGGGAGAAGGACTGCCTGTCTCAATCCTGTGTTCCAAAGGTGGGGCCTGCAAGATTCCGGGCTCCCGAGCTGCTGTTCCAGCCAGACCTGATAGGGGATGAAAGCGAGGGACTCCATGAGGTGCTGGCCTTCGCCATCCACAAATCTGACCTGGACCTGCGTCGCACACTGTTCGCCAACATCGTGCTTTCTGGTGGCTCCACGCTATTCAAAGGTGCCCTGGTTCGGGAGGTGGGGGTCGGCTCCGGAGCCAAGGACAGCTAGCTGGACCTTCCCCTGCAGCCGGCATATGGCCTGTTTTCTAGTAGTTTCTTGGTGCTCAGTGAGCAAATGTTTTTTTAAGAGTAAAATTTAAAATTATATTTTATTCACTTTGTAAGTGGGTGATAAATTTATGAGATCTAAACTGTGTTAGACGAAGTGTCCTTTCCCTGTTATCCTGGTCGGCCCTTCCCTCCACACAGGGTTTGCCGGTTTCTCAGGCAGCTGTCAATGACCTCCCAGCACATGTAACAGATGTGCACCACCCCCATGTACAAACTGTAGCATGTTGTACGGGCCCTGACCATGTATGGCTCCTTTAGCATCATATCTGGAAGGTCTTTTACCACCTGTGTAAGTTCTCTCACCTGGCTGTACAGTGTTTCACTAAGTGGAAGTGCCACGCAGACATCCTGCTGATGGCCTTTGAGAGAGTGGCAGTCATTTCTAATTAGTACTCTCCCGCACTGTCATTTCGCATGCTGAGAATATACTAATGGGTAAATCCTGGAGTAGAACTGCTGAGTCAGAGTGGGGATGTGCCTTTGTTATTTGGTGGGTCCTGCCAAGGTGTCCCTTCTGAGAGCTGTGCCCACTGCCAGCCTGACACCGTGTGGGATCTTTGCCTATCTACCAAACCAGTAGCTGTTTTCTCCTGGTTTGTCATTAGCCTTTGATTTTGCTTCTGTCGGGTTTTAGCTGCTGGCGCATTGGGTGATGAACATGAGGGGACGGCAAACCTGTGACTTGGGGCCCCATCTCATGTCTCTCTTTGGAGGCTGGACTCCCTGTAGGCCTGGTGCTGGGTCTTTTTTTGCCCTTGGAGTGGCTCATGCCTACCCTTAGTCCTGGAAAGAACTCCTGAAAGGAGGGTAGCGACTGGGGGGCACCAGGTGAGATATGGGGGAGCTAGTGGTAAAGGCTGGATGGGGACCCCAGGCTAGCCAGCTTTGTGTTCACAGGCTTTGGTGACCGATTACTCAGTGAAGTGAAGAAGCTTGCCCCAAAGGACGTCAAAATCAAGGTGAGGTTGTGGAGAGTGCCCGTGGGACATCGGGTCCCTAGCAACCATGACCCAGGAGAAGGCACATGCCACCTCCAGAGGCCCTCTCATTTCCAGCCCAGCTGCTTCTCCCATTCGCCTGTTCCCCTGCTCCCACTAGCTGTCTGGCCTCGTGCCCTGCGGGAATCACCCCCAAGGCTGGGACAGGGGCTGCTGTGTGGGGGACAGGCACTTAGTTGCCCCTTGCTCCCTCTAGATCTCTGCACCTCAGGAACGGCTGTATTCCACGTGGATCGGGTAAGGCAGAGCTCACAGGGAGGGCTCTGGGAGGAAACCATTTTGCCCTGGACACTTCTCCCAGGGTTGGCCCAGGCCGGGTGGAGGTGGATGGATTTCCCTCCCAGGTGAGGGAAACAGAACGCTGCATGCACAGGGAGGGTGGCCATCCATAAGACCACCACCCCTCCCTCCTCGCAGTGGCTCCATCCTGGCCTCACTAGACACTTTTAAGAAGATGTGGGTCTCCAAGAAAGAGTACGAAGAAGATGGTGCTCGTGCTATTCATCGCAAAACCTTCTAGTGCCCAAGGAGGAGGGGGCAACGCTTGGGAGAATGGGAGGAAAGGGGAGCCAGAGCCATTAACCCCTTCTGGGCTGGGCTCACGCACCAGGCGTAGGGTCCGCTGCATGCCCTGAACCTGGGCAGGTGGTGCAACAGCGCTTCCCTGCAGCACTGCCCTCCACACACGCACGCATGCACACACAGACATGGTAATGTTTAGCCGCAGGGGTGGGCATCTTGAATGGAGGAGCCCGGCCTTGGGTGGTTCTGGTTGTTCCCCTTGGCAGGGCCAATTAGACCTACGGTTCCTGGCTCTAACCCTTGAGGCTGCTTCCCTGAGCTCTAAGGCCAGACACCCAAATGCCCTCATTTCCTCTGACAGGGTCTCTCCCAGAGCCGAGTGCCTGGATGCCTGTGTAACTAGCTTTGGGGAGTAGGTTAGAGGAGGGGGCAGCCGGCAGCTCCCCACTGGTGTATCAGTTTCTCATGCCACCTCTTCCTGATCTGACAGGGTAGCACAAAGGGCCAGCCACTCCTGGGCATCCCTGACCTTCCACACTCTGTCCCCGTCTTCCTGAGTAGATGCCTTGGGGCAGGCTTAACAGTGGGCAGTCTGCCCTCCCCAGTAAGGGGTTCTGGCCCAGGGTTGGAGCCAGCACAGAATGTGTGTGTGCGGGGGGGGGACTTTCAGACAGCCAGTCTTTTGTGTTCTCCCCTTCAAAGCACTTCACTGACTTGCTGCTCCTTCTCCTTTACCCCAGTACCCTGGACGGGGTAAGAGTTAATGGTCTTCATTTGTTGAGGGAGGGGAAGCCACTTAATCAGGAGTCAGACCCAGAGGGTTGAGGGGGCACAATTCCTCTCCCAGAAGATCTTCATTACCCTGGGCCAGGTCCCCCACCTCCCTCTCCCAGATATGTACAGTAATTTTACCCAGTTGCCTGAAAAAAACTTTTTTGTAAATCATTATAGTAATAATTATGAACAAGGCCCAGTGTGTGGCTCTCTTTTCTTGTGGTTTTTATGCTGTTGTTTGCTCACCCATCCCTGGGGACTATGAAAGAAAGGACAGGCAAGAATGCAGCATGGTACCAGCTCTGGCTCAGAGCGCCAAAGGTTTTAGTGGTGGGGGGGGGGGGGGGCAATGTGGCACAGGAGGCCGGGCTCTCAGCCTGGTGCCAGAATTCCTGAGGCTCATTACCCACTTGCTGCGGTCTTCCACAAGCAGCAGAGGACAAAGCTGCTCTCCTCTGCCTTGTTCCTGGACAGGGCCTCCTGGCAGGTGGGGCTGGGCTTGGTGCCTTTGAGTCCTCACCTGTTGGAACACCTTTGCTGCCCCACTCACAGGTGGCTAAAGCTGATGGACCCACAGTAATAGACTCAGAGTTCAGACAAGTGAGGAAGGAGATAAGGGGAGATGGCAAAGGCTATCAATGAGCTGGGCTCTGAAGGTAGAAGCTGAGGACAGAAAGGGCCATGGATGGAGCAGCGAGGAGACACCAGAGTGTCTGCCCTTTCCTTCCTTCAAGAATTTGAAAACCTACAGTATACCAGGAGGGTCCATATGTTTGTGGACAATGGTAAACATATCTTTGCCCCCAAAAACATACAGGTCAGGGGAGGAAGAACAGGCCATTTCAGTAGTTGTGGGGCCTGAAGGAGGGGCAGGCTTACTTGCATGGGTCCAGGAAGAGTTAACCAGGTATGGGAGAGGAGGGTGTTCCTGGCGGAGGTAAGAGCTCGAGGAGACACCTGGGACCACTGGGACAAAAGGCACAGACCTGAGTGACACAAAGTCAGCCGGGAAGAGAAAGTGGTCTCTGTTTAGAATGCAAGATACACCAAAAAGGTTAGGGGGCGAGGCCTGCACAGGGAGGGCCTTGCCAATTTTTGGCTATGTACTGGGTGATGGGCAGCCTGCTATGGGAGGGTGGCTGTCATAGCTGAGTGTTGAAGGTAACTGGAATGAGTGGAGCTGAGGGAGAGCCCAGAACTGAGATCATGCAGAAGGGGAGAGGTTACTCTGTCCAACCTGTCTTCATAGGGCATTCTGTGAGCCTTTGTTTTCAGAAAGCAGTTAAGCCCATAGCTGCCCTCAAGGGGGAAACAAAATTTACAGAGAACCCTTGGGGTTCTGTTCTTGTGCCACTTTCTGCCAACCATCCAAGTTGGAGCCCTATTAGTGTGGGTCCTCCCTCTTCCTTACCTCCTCCACATTCTGTCACTCACCAAGTTCTTTTGCTTCTGTAATACCTTTCCTACCCATCATTTCTTTTCCATGAGGGCCTCTACTACCCTGGCTCAAGATCATAGCTCCATTTTCCCCACCAATTCATTTGCTGTTGGGTCTAAAGCCCAGATAGCCTTGGTCTTGCCACTTCCTAATCCAAAACATTAAACAGTTCTCCACTGCCTGGTGAGATCACCTTCGTGAACCACATTATTGCATTTAATTCAGGCCCTTTGGGATCTGTCCTGTCGCTGTTTTAGGCTTCTGCATCATCATGCCCTGCTTTGTCTGCCAGCTGCTACTCATGCCATTCCATGCTAGGAATGGCTTTCCCGTATGTCAAAATCCCATCCTTTAAGCTAAGCACTATGCAGCACCCTCCCTCCTCCCTCTGTTGGCAGGGATGATGTGGTTAGAGCTCTGGCCCCGCCAGGTTTCTCACTGCTAGAGCAAAGCTACAGGTGAGAAGCTGGTAAGGCTAGAAGAACCTTATGGTGTTGGGATTGGGGATATGGACAGAACTATTTTTTGGTGCTGTTTCATTATTATGGCAAAATTCAAACTCACACCAAAGCAGAAAGAACAATGACCCCCTCATGTACCTACCTGGCTATGAGGGATCAATCACACTCCAAACCACTTCTGCCTCTTCTCCCCAGTTTTAAACCTAATCCCAGGCATATTGTACCCCAGTATGTATCTCTAAAGCATAAAAAATGAAGACCTAAAAATGTAATAAATTCTTAAACATCAAATATCCAGAGTTCAAATTATTCCAATTTCTTTTTCTTTACAGTAAGTTTTTCAAATCAATACCCAAACAAGTTTGGCCACTGCACTTGCTTGCTATCTCTCTCACATCCACTTCATTCTGTAGGTATTCCCTCGTTTTCTCTTTGCAATGTATTTGTTGACAAAACCTAGGCATTGGTTTCTGGAACTGTCCCATATTCTGAATTGTGATGGTAGCTCCATTAACTGTGCTTTGAACCTGGGTCCCTCAAGACCTCAAAACCCCCCCAAAAATCTCACAAGTTCACCCGGTCTTTGTAACAATACTTGAGGACCTACCGTCTGCCAGGCTCTTTATAATGTACTCTCAGAAAACATGTCCCCAGTGACAAAGTTAAATGATGGGGCCAATATTTCAAGTCCAATCAGTCTGACTCCACAGCACATATATCCCCCAGTACCAGGTAGTCCCAATCACAGCATTATGAGATTGTCAATTCCAGTGTACACAAGCGGAGAGCAAGCTAGTAGTAACAGAGAGCTATTCCTGATGTAAGAATTACCCGTATCTCTCCAAAAACACAGAAATAAGACCAGCCAACTATGGGAAGAGCCAAAGCAATGGCCAGTCTTTATCGGAGACAAGAAACTTTACAGCACATTGTGAGTTATTGTCGGGGCTCAGTGGGCCAACTGGTGGGGCACCAGCTTATAATGGGTTCCACAGCTAGGGCATCGCTGGGTCTCGCCTTTGTGCAGCCAGAACCAGATGACAGCACTGTTGTCCTCTTCACCTAAAAGGAAAAAGGTGGTTGAAGGCCATCTAGTCTAGAAGAAACTTTCAACATCTCTTTTCCTCAGACACCTCCGAGACACAAAATTATGGTTGATATTTTAAGAGATCAGTTCAAGCTCTCCTCCCTATTTTTCAGGTGAAGAAACTGAGGCCTGAGTTTACCTGTGAGTAAAGTGACCATATATCGAAGTCAATATAGATTCTAACATTTCCCCTGCCTACGTAGAATCCCAAAGCAGGGTCATTCTGATATGTAATCCTAGTGCCTAAAATGATGTCTGGCAGAGAGGAAATACAGAATTTTCTGGATGAATACTCCTCACGTCACATCTCCAGTGAGCCTCCTCACAGTAAGGGTGACCTACTCGGGCATAAGAAGGGCTGAAAGGGCTGAGATCCTTAGAACAACTTATTTACAAACATATTCTCTTTACACACAGAAGATCTGAAGGAGCTTACAGACATCCTGTATAGTAGAGTATATTAAACAAATGAATAAGAAAATAGTGGTGAGGTACTTACAGATGCAGCCCACTATTCGCTTGTTGGTGATGGAGGGAACTAAATTAGGATCTTCCTTGGTGCCTGAAGCTGCTTTTGGGGCTATCATATTGTATGGGTCCTGAAAAAAACAAGAATTGAGCCATCATACCAGAGGACCCCTACCCTTCAGGGGCTAGCATTACTGTTCCCACAGTCAGGTTTCCTGGATCAAACGTTCCCAGAGCGGAGAGTGCTCTGGTCCCAACCAAGGCCATGAGGTCCAGAGAAGACACAGAAAGCAGTTTCTCACCTGTCCCTTCCGCGCAGCCATCATGACCTCCCTCTCCAGACCAGTCGCCTGCTCGTCATCTGTAGGAATACCACCTAAAAAAAGATACATGAATTATGATATCGTCTGAATGATCAAGGCAGAAACTGCACAAAAGTTAAGTTTCCGCGTACTGTTTAAGTGGGCTCACAAGCTCCTAAAGGTTACCCTTACCCACTGTCCCGTAAGTACCAGAGTCATGATCCCCAAAAGCTACAGCACCCGGGAAATCCTTTCTTCCCCCAACCACCAAGACCGATTTTTCGACACTTTTTTTTGTAAAGGCAGATAAATCAGAGTCAACTTTGCGCGCGGGTCTGAAGGGCGGCTTAGCCCTTCCCCATCGCGTTTGCAGCACCCTCCCCAACAAGGTCACCTGGCACCTCCATTTAGGATTCTGTCGCAGCAGGGTCAATTAGGTGGGCTGCTGCAGCGGCGGCCGGGAGGAACAGGGAAATGCCCGCGGAACCTGAGGCTCGCGGGGCTCGGGCACGGTCACTGGGGCCCAGAGGAGCTGAAAGGCCGGCCCGCTGTGCTGCACTAGGACCCCCGACCCGGGGAAGACCACTGCGCCCGGCCCTGACGCGACCGGCGGGACGAGTACCTCCAGACGCCATGGAGCGCACCGCAGCTACCCCATTGGGACCGCGAGCCCTCAGGGCCTGTGCGACCAGCGCTCCAGCTCCGCGAAGTAACCTTGAAGCCATCGCGTCCGCTACAACACTACACTTCCGGGGCAGCCCCGAAGACAGGCGGGACTTCCTGAGAGAGCTCCTTCCGCCTTGGCGGCCGCCGTCCACTTCCGCCGGCTGCCGCTTTAGCCATGCCAGGATCCGCCCCTTTCTAGTGACTGCCAGCGTACCAAAAATAATGCGCAAGTCCAGCGCTGTCTCGCTTTCCTGTTGCGACCCCGCGGAAGCTTCGGTGTGTGGTTACGGTCTCAGTTCTGGATGGTGTGATTTGGAACAGCGCGGTTTGCGTCCGCGGGACCCCGTATCCTCGTTGGTGGAATGGGGCAGCCACACTGGCGTTCCTGTGCGTGTTGCTTGATAGTTGTGCTCGGTAAATGTGGAGGCTGTTGTGGAAAGTCATTAATCCCGCGTCTGTCAGGAGGCTTGCTGGATCCCGAATGTTATGCTTGTTCACTGTGACGTTGATTCTTCTGGCAGCGTGGGAGCCGTCGCGAAGTTGCTTTGGCCTGGTCTGCAAGAACTCAGGCAGAACCTACCCGCAGTGCTGGCATCAGTCTCCTGGTTCCGGGGTGTGGAGGTGATGAAGTCATCACAGGTGGTGAGGGGCAGGAGAGTAAGGCCAGGTTTAGGACCCCTTCCAGGACCAAGGCCCTTGGTGATGGGTGAGAGATTGGCCACAACGGGAGATTATCACCAAGGAAGGGCAGCAGGAAGGGGAGTTGATGATG